AAACTGACACCACTTATTCAAATTAGCCATAACTAAGAATTCTAATAAACATAGGTAAAAGTATTATAAAGCTTATTTTGAAGAACAACTAACACGTACATGTATGCAACGAAAAAATTTGCCCTGATCAATTCTAAATAAACCACCATTTGGTGGATGTTTCTCTACAACTAGACAGAACTAATCACATAATCAAAATACGGTTTATTACATTCAAATTATGAATAATTATCAATCAGATATAATCATGGAATCATATTTCTAATAGATATTTTCAGTAAAACTTTATTCCGTCTCTTTAAAACCATGCACATAAATTCAAACATTTATGTGTTGTCCCTTAGAGAGCTTTCATTCCACACGACCTGATATCAAAAAGGGACTATGTATGACTGAAACATTCAGTCAATCAATCGATTCAATATTCCATAAATCAAATCCAATGATCATTCCATTATTAGAAAAATAATGATCAATGGACCACCTACTAAAGTACATGTTACAAACACCAATAAATATATTACGTTATTACAGTTTATAAGTGGTTAATAACTATGAACAAGATAATAGAATGATTTTTTATTTTAGTTAAAAAGTTACTCTATTGGATGTTGAAAATAATGATAATTCCACTATACTTTTTACGTTGTCCAGTCCTTAGGGTTGAAGAAATTCAGACCAACCAAATCATAGTAGCGAATCTAAATAACTTGAAACAACAATGCTCTTCGTTCGATGTCGAACAGTTAAATGGTAACCAGGGGTAGCTCTAAACTTAAGTTTCATGTTACTTGGTACTTATCAGCAAAGTGTATGATCAATCTTGAGAGAATAGATTCTCCCATTAAGATTCAAGCATATTTACCCGGTTTCACAGAAATAGATTATACTGATGAGCTATTTGGGTAATATTTTAGATGAACAGCTTTCCCTCAATCTCTTCTGAATATCTGACATTAAAAATGCAATGAATTTCACAGTTAGTGTTCTGTAAGTTGGATAGCTTAAAATCAATTTTGAAATAACACCAAGTCATGTACTGGACGAAGGCAGAAAACTGTAGCATTAAAGAAAATCATAACTTTATGTTTTCTAAGTCTATGTTTTGAGTCTTTTTCAAGAAAGCAGATTCAATTACAGCCCATTTTGTCAAAGGTTCAATGTTTGAACAACGTAAACATGACAAATAGTCGTTACAACACACAAGAAGCCAAGGTGTAATTCTAATAAAACTTATCGATATATATTCATTTTGTGTATAATATATGATCATTAAAATTGTCAACTTCATACAAACAGACTGTTCTGTAGAATAGACACTGGGAGGGTATCTAGTGTAGATATTCGTCTAGGGCAAATTAGTGCACTATCGGCGTAAGGGAGAAAACCGAATCTTATTTCAAAATCACTTACCATTGAAGAAACGTTTATAAATTGACTCCTGTTTCAAGTTGATTCTATTGTTCGAATTGATCAGTGAATATTTCGTATTTAAATCTACCAGCACAAATAAATCAATTTCCTTTTATCTTCTCTGTAGAGATGAGACAATCATAAAATTACAGCTTAACCCAGTGGCTATTTTACATTACTTAATCAAGAACGTAAAATGCTAAAACCGTGTGCAGTTAGCCACAATTACAAACCGTTTCATGATTATTATCCAATGTAATTTGATTACCAAACATCGAAGTAATTGGTATTGCCTAAAATAACTCTTTCTCATACATCATGATCAGGGATAGACGGTGGCTAGAAGTGAAGTCCAGGACGCGCGTTTCATCGTGTTTGAAACTCATCACCTGGATGTACTTACATCACAAAGTTGATTCTCATTGCAGGACCCGAACCCACTACTGTTCGCTTCAAAGCCGTTGCGTTATCCACTTAGGAACTGAGTTAAAACAGCTACTAGTTTGTGCAATCGTAGTCCTAAACATCACTGGGAAGATTCGAACAAGCAATACAAAATGAATTTTCGCCATCCACTTTCCTTAGCAAATGAATTACTATCAATGGACTAAATACGTTTTCCTCATTTGATTATAGTAAGGTAAGAAAAACAAGTGAATACCTGATATTATCATAATTTTAACAATTTCTTTCTTCAATTACATATTTACGCTAGAATAATTTTTCAAACAATGAAACAATATTACAGAAGTAGAAACTCAAGGTTGAATAGGTCCCGTAACAATCAACTGGGTTTTGCAATGGTATAGAAATGAAAAATTTGAAAAAGATTTCGCAAAGCTCGAAAACTGACTGATTTTATTTAGACAACTATGGAGAACGAGGAAGCACTAGACAACTGTTTTATGGCAATATTAATAGGTGCACCTCAGTGATAGTCTTCGTCCGCAAAATACCTGGTTATTTTGTGACGTAAACTTCACAACTCAATGACTTACACAAACACATTAATAATGATCACGAATCCAGTATTTACTAATTTTCAAAGGTAATTCAAAGGGTTCTAGTGAGAACTGTGACCAGTGGAGTTCAACCGTATCTTGTGTAAGGCAGTTACCTAACAATGATCCTGAGAGATGGTTGAGTAACATCATGGATTAATTAAAGTTGCAGTTGTGAACCAGTGGATGCCAAATCAATAGTTTCAAGGTTAAAGGCTGTCCAAGAAACCTGAAAGCCCTGAGTTCAGTCTATAATATGGTCATGGATGCACACTGTCATTGATAGGTTTCATACGACAAATAAATAGCAGTGGACTATTTTTTTTGTTATCAGTGGGCGTTCAATTAGGATCAATTCGTGATGTAAGCTACAACATTCAACAATCTTTACAAAACTATTGTACTAACCAAAAGCTTTTCTCCTAAAAAAAGACACAAAAATCAAGGATAGAAAGGCAAACAGTAGAAAGGCAATTGATGGACAATATCTAGGAGTATTTACAATGCATAAAAATTAACATAATACTATAAATTTCAATTACTGTGACCGATTTTACTTTGCATCAGTCAGGATCTTCCACCATCAACACTTTTTTATCGATTTGAACCCGAGGAAGTAAACACTGAAAGAAATTGGTATTCAAGTATTTTTTACTAAACATCTTTTTGTTCAGAATCATGGTTTGTATAAACAATAGTTACTCTTTTAGGTTAAAACTGAACTCATGTTATCAGTTGGCCTTCACTTACCGTGGTAATAAAATTGCATTTCAGTGCAAATATACTAACTTATTTAACATTGTTTAACGGTCCTAATAAAGGTGATTTTCATCTATATTGTCTACATTGGACAATTTATAATACTCGTTTTTTTCATTTAAAATGATATTAACCGATCGGCCTAAGCTTTCAACTTATCACCTTAAACTTGGTTCAAATGAACAACTAATATTATCATTACATTACTAAAGGTCGATTTAATTCTAGGCTCCGAACAAATTATATTGATTACATCAGAATAAGTTAAGGATATGCAACCCTGAAAATTTATGAATTTAGACTGAACAGCTAATTCATGTAATTCATGATTTTCAATGTCCCTTCAAAACTTCAATTCATAACAATAACAAGATAAAGTATATTAGGCGAAGACAGAAACAATTCATCATTTCTAAAGAGTAAATACACTGTTTTTAGAGCAATCATTTTGAGAATACGTATGACGTTTTCATTATCGTGAAAGCTTAAAGTTGGTAAAATATACTATTTTCTATCTCACTCGTCCCATGAGATTGAAAAAACCTCATATTTATTCCTCACTAGTGAGGATATTTGGTTCCAGATCATAGTTATTTGCTATTCAATATTCTATATAGAACAGTCATTTAGATGAATTGTCCATGAATTAACGATTATCGAATAACAAGATGACGATGAGTGACGATAGAAAAATCTATTATGTGGCACAGTAAAATAATGTTGTTCGGTTCTAAGAAAAATCAGTGTGATTTTTTGAGGGTGTGAACTTGGATCCAGCTGAATGAAATGTTACATAGGCTAAAATATCATCATGTGACTAAACTCATAGCCAAATAAATATGTGATATTGATGTTTTTACCAGAGTGGTTAATATTCCTGGATCTTCACTATCATAAACATGACAAAAAAGACGAGAGTGGGCGCTATTCAGAAATGCGTGACAAATACTATATTTATGAATGATTAACAGAAATACTGATATCACAACATACCATGTCAAAACATCCCTCTTCTGTAACGCAGAACTTATTAGTCGAAAATGATAAAAAGCGAATTCAGACTCAGTAAAATCTAAGTACCTATTTCGATTTTTGTAAGTCAATACAAATGATAGTCCATTAACAGTACCTAAATCGACTATCGACACATAAAATTAACCTCGCTTATAACATTAATTTCATCAATACACGACATTATTTAGGTGACCAATCAAAAACGTTCTCAACCTTCGAATGATATGTATCACCATTACGCCTAAATATCGACTGTTTTTATGTTTACTTGAAAAGCAGTCTAGTATCTGTGACCAAAAAGATGGTTTTCACTGTTTTGTGAGTAACTCTGACATCATTCTGTAATTTTATTTAATAAAGTCTGAACTAACCTTGTGAGTCGAGAAAACTTCCCGAGTTCATACTTAGATATAACAACTTTTTAGTTACTTATATACGTTTAATATGAAACACTGTATATGTAAATATATAAAATCCTTTACTGTTTAGACATGAAATATTAATAACGTATATGAACCAAGTGAAATATAGACTCAGTGAATTTGCAATTTATTTGACAAAGCAGCTATTCATCTTAGTTGAACGAACAGACATCAACACTAGTAATAATGGTCTTACAGCTGGATTTTACACAAATATTAATTAAAATTGGTATACCATATGATATAATGACGAGAATTGCCACATGATTTATTCAAGAGACTAAATTAGAAGTGACCAATAAATTCGTTTATACGTTATAAAGTGAGTGTAAAGAAAATTTCTGAGGTTACGTTTTCAAAGTCAACATAAAGTGGCCACTGATATTCCGTGTTACTGAGCAGCTTCACGTTCAGAAGTCCATAACTGAAAAAGTTTTGTTATTGTAAATTAGCAACTTACAGTTAAGTTATCACGAAGAAGTTGCATTACAAGTGTACTATCTTTGAAGGAACCACTTTCAGGTTGGTCCAACTGTCCGATTGATTCATTAAATGCAGTCTGAGCAATTGAGCATGCTTTTTCGGGGTTGTTTTCGATTTCATAATAAAACACAGAGAAGTTTAGAGCTAAGCCCAGACGGATTGGATGAGTTGGAGGTAGGTCACTATTTGCCTTCTCCGTTGCTGCCTGATAAGCTTCCCTTGAGTGTTTTACAACATCAGCACGTTTGTCGTCAGTTAGAACCTCAGCTAAATACCTGTAATAATCACCTTCCATTTTCTTATAAAACACGATTCCTTCAGCTGTATTTTCACTTTTGAGTAGTGACTCGTGTAATAAATCCTAATAAGGAAATGTGGTCAGGAAGACTTAGAAATCTTACTAAGACTTCCTGGCAGACAGCTTGTAATTCCTTCTCAATAGTTTTACGGTATTCTCCCGCTTGTTTTTTCTTCTGGTCATCCAATCGCTGTTCAATGTTTGAAACAACACGCCATGCTGATCTACAACATCCAACTACATTTTTATAAGCCACTGAAAACAAGTTTCGCTCCTCATTATTCAGTGTTTTTGATGTCTCGACAACTTTCTTCATAGCACACGCCATATCATTAAATCGCTCAGCTTGCTCCTGAATCTTAGCCAACGTAATCAGAGAATCTCTATCCTTGATATTAGATTCATTAATCCAAGAGTCATCACACATTGCTAATATGACGAAAGCGCAGTGAATAAAACGCTACATTTATCGTCGGACAATTAGAAACGAAAGTAAAATAGTGAGTAATTTAGTTCAATTAAACGAAAATCGGAGAAAAGTATACTCTGATAAAAACAACGGCGAGACTCAAATTTAGGGACGAGCCAGTCAGAAGCGTTTGAGCAATTTCAATTATTAGCCAATCAGAAGACAGTATGAAGTAAAAATATATTATAAGAAAGTAATGAATTACAGTGGATATTCTTCTTCTACATGATTTAAAAACTTGTTAAGGTTTGATTAAGGTTCAGAAGTTCTGAATTCATAATGCATACGGTATAGACACTCATCCATATGGTTAGGGTTAAGGGTTAGGGGTTAGTGTCGTAGCCTAGGGTTAGGGTAAGGGTAAGGGTTGTAGCCTCTCAATAGACACCTCTTCTCTAAAATCTGCTGTAACCCGATCGTATGTTACCATCCTAACCCTAACCTTAACCCCAACCCTCACCTAACCCTAACCCTAAACCCTAACCTAACCCAAACCTTAACCCTTAACCTAACCCTAGCCCTATGGACGAGTTTCTATACCATATGCATTATGAATTCAAAACTTCTGAACCTTTATCAAACCTTAACAAGTTTTTAAATCATGTAGAAGAAGAATATCCACTGTAATTCATTACTTTCATATAATATCTTTTCACCTTATACTAACTGTATTCTGGTTGGCTAATAATTGTCAAGGTCATTTACGATTCGTTCAAAGGTCGTCCCTGAATTAGAGTCTCGCCAAAACAACTTCAAGTGAAAAAGGAGTATTTAGCTACCAATAGGATACCAAGTTTTAGTTTGTAAACACAAAGGCAGTGGTTTTGTACTGTAGAATGAATTTTCGTAATGCAAAACTCCTTTAGAAAAGAAAATATGTAGACTCAAATTGTCCTACTGAAACCATATCAACCAATTATATAGTTTTGATTTTCCAATTTATTGGTTGATAAGTGGAATCTCTTACCAAAACAAGTAGTATCGGTCAGCTCAGTAAATGCCTTCAAAAAATCGGACCCAAACAAAGTTACTCACTAGGAAGATTGACCCATGTCATGACGTAATACAAGAACTTGATTGAAGATCCTAGTGGCTATAAACAAAGGTGTTAATTTTAACAACGACAATCAGAAATTTAATATATGACAGTTGTCTATCGCGGGAACAGTTCAGCTTGATAGACAATCTAGTTGGGGCTCACTAATATTTCATTGATCTTATAAATGAAATCTAGGATATGAAAAATTTCACAACCACGAGGACCTAAAAGTGAGAACAAGTTTCAGGAATGACACAACCATACTGGCTGTATTGAACAGAACGATGATTAGGTCGAGTTCCTAAACATGTATGATCTGATCTTCCAAAGTAATTAAATCAACATTTTGGGATGGATATGAATTAAGTAAAAGTTTTAGTCAGAACCTCCGTTGGTCTGTGGTTTGATGATAAGTCTGAACTAACAGAAATATTGAGAATCTCCTCTACCTTCTTCATGATCAAAGCATTCTTCGTTGAAATTTTGGATTAACTTAAGCTATTCTTTATTACAACACTAAACGAGTTCGTTGAGTGATACTATAGTATCAATAAAGCCGACACTATTCATAGTATTGAGCTCAAGTGCTATCTTATTGCGTGCCATACACGAAATGTGCATGAACACTCTGTTGGATTTATAAATAAACACATGGAAATCTAAAATAAACATAACAACGTTGCAACACCAAACTAACTTGTAAGCTAGTTGGCTACTAATTAAGCCAGTCGATAACGCGGGTTTTGAATTGGTGAGTAAACGAATGCAAAATGGTGTAGCTAAACAAAATTCACAAACAATTCAAATTGTAATTTTAAGTACATGTTCGTTTCATTATTAACGACAACGAAAAACATCTAAACTTATATGGGCTGCGTGTATTTTGAAATGATGACTTTGTAGTCGATTTAACAATCTCCTGTTTTCGATCTCAAGATTGCCTTTGTAGCGGTAAATAAATTCCCAAAATAAATAGTTCTGTAAGTTTTCGACATTGGATGCTGACCACATGTTTTAGTGGACTCACCCAGATGAAGGCGCTCGGTCATGCATCCGCACCAGATCACGTGTGGGAACGCCGTGCTCAACATCTACTGCAATCGCTAGCCAGATTAGAGCAGACAATTCCGATCTCCTCGGTTCTGTCTTTTGACTTCTCTTAGTGGGTACGCGTTATACTAGAAGGTGATACTAGTAAAAGCGTTGTCAAACAATAAATACCTGTGCTATCTTCACCTTAATCTGAGGCTTGTCTAATTGCCTATTGTTGCTTATTGCTTTCGGAGGTAAATGTAGGTGGATTGTGTACACTCACGAGGTCATTCATTCTCCTTTCCCTTTGTTCTTCTCTTTTCTAACCTCTTCACACCACTCTGTATCATCCTTTTATACACAAAGTACCCTTCGGATAGATGCGAACCGCTCCAGACTAACTTTTAATTCCATCGCTTAGAGAGCTTCCTTGTACTATAAAAATGAATCACCAACCCTTTCAAGCAAAACTTAGATGTATGAGACCAGCAGAAATACATTTGTGTACGCTTTAGTGATATTTTACAGGCCCCATACGTTAATCGAATAAAAAACTATTCACCAAGCTTACATCTTGATATCGTTTGATGTTTAATTTTCGAAGACTATTGCAGAATCGATGGGTATGTATATATGCGCATGTGTAAGAGAAACCCTCTACCCGTGGCTTCCATATCGCCACCTATTGATGACCCAATTATTTTATTGCTGTTCCTAGATTCTTTGTACTACTGTGTAATGTGTCCATTTTTTATATCCACAATACTGACTACTCCTGTATGACATAATTAATTTGACCTATCATTAGAAAATAGCCTCATTTTTAATTTGTCAGTATCATTGATTATTACGTAATTCGCAGGTTAGTTGGAGGGCATCGATAAGTAGTTACACACCAGAACGAACTGGCCGTCCAGTGCCTTCAGTTTTTCAGTGATTGTCTAACTTTGATCGGTTAAGGGTGTCTACAAATGCATGCGTTTTTCCTTGGGCTATGGGGCCGCTAAAACCATTAGCCACCCAATAACAGTTGTAAAACCCATAAGATGTCAGTTAAAATCAGACTAGAGAAGAATACGTTCTAAGTAGGACAAGTAAATGAATTGATTAACTGAATAAACATAATGACTGTGTAGATTATTATGCAAAACCGAGAAGTAAACGGAAATAATAAGAATCAAAGATAGATAAGATTAGTAATTAGATTCGGTTTCCAAAGTCTGTTGATATAGATGTAGATACACTTGGATGACTTATAGATGCGAATGACTGAAGCACAGGAAGTCGACTGAATATTCTTAATAATAATAATAATAATAATAATAATAATAATAATAATAATAATATATTCTCAAATAACAGTCTGTTACATGAGGCATGCCACTTTACAAGAGATACAGTCTTCACTGTATTGGGCTACTCAGTTAGGTTGATATTTGATAAAGTACATTAGTCATGGAATTATGGGGAATAAAACATCTCTCATATGAATGTAAATATTATTATTGAGACTCGTATTGTCAATATGACAGTTGGCGCGCGTTATGCAGATTGCTTTGGCACGTGCAACTAATGGTCGAGAATAAATTCACTTGAAACTGAGAGCTCTTAGAAACCGCGACGTTATACCCCTCTGGAACATTCGGGGCATTAATGGTGGCGCGGGACGAAGACACCCGTTCCATATGTGTTTTTGGTGGCATATCTTGTGAGTGCTGAAAGAGAGGTTAAGGAAAAGACGATAAGCAAAGCAGATAGCATGTCAAATATTATGAAAAGGTTTAGAAGTGTAAGTTTTCAGAGTTAGAAAACAAAATATCGGGCGATTAACAAGAATTTAGGGCATTATGGGCTTCCTATGATCGGCCACAGTTGATCAGCATCCGTAAGATTAATGCGTAATCTGTCTAATTGTAATATGAAAAAATGACACTTAGAAAGAATAATCCTACTCTTAATTATTTTTTGTTACTAATTTAACGATACACACATAGTCGTTTATTCTTGTTCTGTGTTCATAAACACGCCTATTAGACTGTTTGCGTATTTCATGTCTCCTTTATTTCTATTCCCTTATTTTCTCCATTTCCTTCTTTAAACTCAATTCAATATTCTTCTCAATTACAAAGACCCGATTTATTATTATTAATATTCTACTATTATTATTCTCAATTTTTTATTTTATTTTTACTATTATTATTTTTTTTTAAATATCGCAAGTATAATGCTAACATTATTGAAAATTGTGTATTATTGCATTTTCTGAAGAAACCCGAAATGGTTTCTTCACAACACTTATGTACCCATAAGATGTTTGTGAATAATAATAATAATAATAATAATAATAATAATAACCATTAGAGAGATTCGGAATCTGAATATGAGAAGTAGGAGCATAAGGGTATGGTTAATAATCAATAAATAGTGGAAGAAAGTAAGTCATTTATTATATCACTTTCTATATTCATATTTATGACAATGAAGTCCGTTATATTAATGATCGTTCTAGATATCAGGCGGTCCATAATACAATACCTCATTGGTGACTGTGAGTTCACGGAATAGTTGATAAAGCTGATTAGAGTTTAGTACCAGGGTATTTTGAACCTATTGATAGTGTCACAGCTACAGATAATTATTCACAACCCGTTCGATAATAAACTAGACCACACCGTCAAATAATTACAACGCATCGGGTTTTGGTGTTTTACTGTAAGTAGTGTATATGCGTTGTTTCTGAGTCTGTAGACTGGGTAGCGGATCATGGTTGGGCAGGAGGTTAGAAATGAGAGTCCATACATTACTTTATAGAGAAACATTGGACTGTTCCCCAGTCGATGGTGCCGTAAACGTGCTAAGTAGAGGTGCTTAAAACTATCTGTGTAGACGAGAGTGGAGCCACATTCTAGCAGTTGGTGTGTGAAGTGTCTTTGGATATCTTTACTCGTATCTTGTCTGTGATATTCAATGTTGAGAAGACAAAAGAGCAGTATTCAAGGGAGGATTGTACACATATCCTGTAAAGTGTATGCGTAGCCTCTGTTGTGAAGAAACTTTTCATTTTGAAACCAATTAGCCGTCTAGATTTAGAAACAATAAAGGAGGAACATTCTTCTAATTTTAGGCTTTCCGTGTGATTAATACATAGGTCGTGCACGGATTTGAGTGTATGAGCTCTAGTTTCATTCAACTAAAGTTGTGGTTCACAGGGATGTTTTCCAGAATGCATGATTTCACACTTATTGCGGTTAAATTGTAATTACCATTTTTCGCTCCAAATATTCGGGTTGTTGAGGTCACTTTGACTTTGTGATACATTTTCATTTGGAGCTTCAGGCTTAAAATTGTATACTATTTTGAGATAATCGGCGTATAAGTATGGTCTCCCAAATTTTATGGTGTTACATATATCGTTTATGTACATACGAAACAAGAGTGGACCCGATACAATTACCTGGATGACTCCACTAGTTATCGGTCTAGGTGATGAGAGAGAGAGTTATTGCACCTTAACATTTGTTTACGCCCTGTTAAGAATGAAGCAAACCATCAATATAGTCTGTTGTTGGTTCCGAATGACTTTAATTTGATGAGACGCCTTTTGTGTTGGACCTTATCAGAAGCTTTCTTGAAGTCTGAGAAGAAGACTGATACAACGAGTCCGTTGTTTGATTTCAGAGTTATGTTATTCAGATAGTCTGCTAGGCATGTATCACACGATCTGGACCTAAGAAACCCATACTAGGAGGCCGAGATTATGTTATTAGTAGGTTAATAATGAACTACCGCCGCCTTTATCACTTTTTCCATCACTTTAGATACCATTGAGGTCATGATTATGGGCCGGCAATTTTCAGGTACTGTCTTAATTTTGGAATGATATATGTAGTTTTCCAAACAGTAAGGTAACACACTGTAGAGAGTGATATCGCAAATAGCTCGAGAAGTGAAACACACAGATCATCACCCCACTTTATAACATGCTAGCCGGAATACCATCTGATCCGTCAGTGTACAAGTGCTTTAGTGTGCTAATCGCTTTAAAAATATTCCGTACATTGAAGTCTACAGTGGTTGATGAAAGACACAAGTATTCAATAAACAGCTCAGTAACAGGCTTAGGACCCCAATATTGTATACAGTAAAGAAGGTTCCTCAATCAGGAATTTTTAAGTAGTTTTGGAAGCCCTTCCAATCGACCTCGCGATAGTTTCTACGAAGTGTTACAGTTTTAGATTAAAGCTACATATAACAATGTTGTGTTCGCTACCTGGAAACGTTTTTCCGATATACACAGTATTGGGGGTGAGGCAATTTGTAAAGACCAAGTACATTATATTTTGACGTCTAGTAGGGCTGCTGACATACTGAGCCCGCTGTGTAAGCTCTAGATATTCAATAAATGATTCCTAACGTTTCTGCGCCTTGACTGGAATACAAGAAATTTCGGATATGTTGAATTCACCACGAATAAATTTACCTGTGAATGAAAAAGATGATGCTAGTGTGAATACCTCTGATAAAATTGCTATTTCACCTTTTGATGCGTCGGGTTGACGGTAGACACAGAGAAACAGTTAGAAAATGGAATTCGACAGCTTTAAAACAATTCAAACCGAACCCTGCAGTTTTTTCAGTTCAGCCATACCATATGATACTGAGTTTAAGCTAAAATAAGTGTAAATAATGTATTCTCCGCCTAGCCATTTCAACCCGTCACTTTGGTACCGGAAATAGTTATCAGGAGATATACCTACGTCGGAAATATTACTGTTAGTCCATGCTTCAGATATCATTAAAAGTGATGGTTGATAAATGGATACAAAAAGGGCTATATCCATCTTTTTATTATAAACCGACCTAGCGTTAATAAGACACATATCAGACTAATGACCCACTAAGTTAAAATGAGTAAGAGCATCTCGATTTAATTTGTCATAACCTTAAAGGATGTAATATGGGTTCAAAGTGAGAGATTAGTTATTCCTCAACAGCTCATTGTTTTGATAGCTAGAGGAGGATATATCAAATGAGCTAATGAAGTAGCTTGGAGAGTTTACCCAGGAGGAAATGGTGGGAATACTCTCTTGTCCAAACTGCACGGGGAAGCAAGTTTACGTTCCGAATGTGTTTTGAAATGACTTGAGCTAGATGTTTCAACAGAAGCGCCTTATGGGGCCATATTCCAAAAAGATGTGGCACATGTTGACGGCTAAGTGTACTGTTTTTTGCAAAGTAGTCTCGACAGTCAAGCTCGTAACTTTGGTTTTAGCTATTTGCGTTAGTGTAGACGTGAGAAGTATCTTCTGCACGTAACTGTAAGCAATTATGACTGTTATTTTACATGTGTGCCATTTTTTATGTGGTGGGTTTTTACTGAAGGACGTGAAAAGTTTTCCGTTTGACAGTAATTA